CGGCGCGCGGGCTGCGCGGCCATGGCGCTCGGCGGGATGTGGCTGGCGCTGCTGCTCGGCTGCGCCGCCGCCGCAGGTGGGTCGCGACCCGCGCGTTCTCCGGCCGCCGCAGCGGCGTCACTGGACCTCTCTCTATGTCGCGATACGGATTGATGCATAGATAGATAAATAGATAGGTAGGTAGATAGATAGATGTGCGCACACGTGCGGAGGCACCTCTGATAGATGCATATGGCAGATGTGCGCATGTGTGCGTAGGCATATATATACATATATATGGGCTCGTGTGTATATATATACGGATATATATATACACACACATAAATGCGCGTGCATGCATGCTGTGCTGCTGCAAAGGCTGGGCCGTGGCCCCCAGGCGGGTGCCCCGCGGGCGGCAGCAGCAGCAGCCGCAGCCGGGGCTCTGCGGGCGCCGCTGCCCCGAGGAGGCAGCGTGGCCGGAGCGGGAGAGGGCTCCCCGCAGCAGCAGCAGCAGCAGCAGCAGCAGCGGCGGCGGCGGCGGCGGGTCCCGCCGCAGCGCCGCACGTAAACAGTTTGCATAACGCACCGCCCGCGCGCCGGGTGCCGGCTCTCTGCCTTGGGAAAGAAGGGGGAAAAGCAATACGGGAGACGAACACGTAATCGGGCGCAAGATGTAAATGAAACATCACAAGGCGAGGGTTACAAAAATGCGTAAGCAGGAAGCATATGATTTTCCATGGATGTTTTACAGGTGAGTCATGGCATTCGCTGCATGCTCTTGCTCTCTGCCAAAGGTCCGTCCAGTGGCATGTAGAGTGTATGGAACAGGAGAAGGCACTTGCCTGGGTGTAATCGTTGGGTTTACGAGGAGGGAAAAGAGCCGTTTCTGCGGCTGTGGGAGAGTGTTGGGGAGCTCGTGGGAATCCCTGTGCTCTGGTGTGCCCTTCTGCTGAATTCCTGTGGCAGGCGGCAGCGCACGAGAGAGCTGTCACCTCCCATAAGCTGCATCCCTCTGCTCTGTCACGCTGCCCGGTCTAGCTCAAATGGAAACGAGGGGATTTTCCTCCCTCCCCGTCCCAGCACTGACATGGGACCAGGGGTCTGGTGCCCGCAGCCTTCTGCAGCTCTTACCGGTGTGTCCGAATCCAGATCGGTGCCACCCGCTGAGGCTGGACAGCAGCAGGAGGAGACGGGGCAGGCGCTGGGGATGCCAGCTGAGACCCTGGTGCCGCTGCCACGGGCCTGAGCACTGCCTCCCTGCGGTGGGTGCAAAAGCAGAGGGCGCAACAAACGTGCGCGATAATCCCAAGCTGTCCCGCAACCTGGCGGAGCGCTGCTGCCTTTACTTACCCCTTCCCGAACAGGCTCTGCAATGAGGGAGTGAGGGAAGCGCGGCCAACATTCGCCTACTTGCTTAGCGGCTAGCTGCACTGGGCTACACGTAGCCAAAGAATCCAGGAAAGCAGCCAAACGCATCAATTAAGCCAGCTTGTGGCAAGGCTGGCTGATAATATGATAATAGTCTTTACTTACCTACCCCTCAGCAGCGCAGTGTAGGTTAGTTAATGTTTACACAGTGCTCAGAAAAGGATCTTCAGGAGATAAAAGTGATATTGTATAAACTTTGCAGTTTTATTTGTTTACTTTTCTAGAGCAGAAGTATTCTGCACAGCTGATACAGATCATCTCAGATACACTTCTGCTCCTCATATTTTTATCTGCATAGGAAATTAATTTCTCCGAGTATTTTTGCTCCCTAAAGACTTCCCTGGATTGTTTACCCAATGAAATCCAGAGCCTGGCCTTAGTAATGCTTTCTAATGAGAGCATAAACAGCAGTGGCCACATCTATCCTGAGTAATCTGTATAGAAAACCTGCCCGGATCGCTGGTGGCAGAAACGTTTTGTTTCCAGCGTGTTTTCCCTTCAGAAGCAGAAGGTGCCAGGAAATCTGTCAGATGCCAAAGGCTTAGACTCCACTTGTGCGTAATATCGCTTAATTGCAGCTATGACACTGTGGACAAAAAATGAATAAAGCCCCCAGAAAGGACTTACTGGATGCTCAACTCAAATGACCTTTGCGTGTATGAAAAAAAAATGCCCAGAAGAAGCCCCAATAATTGGTGCACAAAGCAGGCTATGTCGGCCTGGCCCCGTGATAAAGAGGGCATTATGCACCTCCGAGGTCTCACTCTGCACGCATCCAAGTCGTCGCCATCACCTTTTTTCCCGCTTTCCCGTGTACAACAGTTGGGTTTCGTCAGTGCGGCCTCGCGCGGCGGCTCTGCTTGTCAGGGGAGAGGTGAGGAGCCCTCCTCGCCGCCCCGGCTCGCCCAGGCTAGTCCTTGTGCTCAGCCTCACCCTGAGCCCCATGGCCGCTTTCAGCACTCCAAATGCAACTTTTTTTCAGCTGTCAGAGACTTGGTTACATGCGTTTTGCCAGTGCTGTTCCAGATGAGGATCTTTTTGTTTTGCTGGGTTCCCTTTTGCTTTTTTTCCTCCTTGGCACACACCAGGGATGCGGCACATGGTGGGTGCCGTCCTGAGCTCTGCTGCAGCGTGGGGCTGTGGGGCGGGAAGGCAGGACGGGGCGGAGAGGCGGTTTGTGTCCCGAGGGATTGCCCCACGGCGCCGGGAGCGCCCGCGGGACACACCGGGCCGCACTCCGAGCTCCCTCCTGCCTCTGTCCCGCAGGTGCGAGCGGGCGCTGCGAGAAGGCCTGCAACCCGCGGCTGGGCAACCTGGCGGCCGGGCGGGCGCTGCGCACGGACACGGCGTGCGGCGCCGGCGCCCCCGAGCCCTTCTGCGCCTACGCCGAGGCGGCCGACCGCCGGTGCGCGCCGCCGGCCTGCGGCCGCTGCAGCGGCACCCGCGCCGCACTCGCCCACCCGCCCGCCGCCATGGCCGACTCGCCCTTCCGCCGCCCGCGCACCTGGTGGCAGTCGGCCCAGAGCGCCCCTCAGGAGACCATCCGCCTCGACCTGGAGGCCGCCTTCTACTTCACGCACCTGATCGTGGTGTTCAAGTCGCCGCGGCCGGCCGCCATGGTGCTGGAGCGCTCGCAGGACTTCGGCGCGACGTGGCGGCCCTACAAGTACTTCGCCGCTAACTGCTCGGCCGCCTTCGGCCTCGAGGACGACGTGGCGCGGCGCGGGGCCGCCTGCACCTCGCGCTACTCCAGCCCCTTCCCCTGCACGGGAGGAGAGGTAAGGCGCCTTCCCGGAGCCCCCGCGGGCATCCCGCCCCGCGCACTTCTGCCAAAACTTTAAAAACTAAATTTGGCGGGTTTAGAATTTTTAAAATTTGGAAACTCGGCCTCCCCACATTCCCTTTTAGTAGAGCTGACCATCATCAAGAGGTAACCGTCCAACCAGCCCAAAAAGCTGCCAGCCACTCTCATACATAGTTCTGCATAAACCAGATTAACCAGATAGTTAAGGAACCTTACACTTCTTTTACTCTTTTTTTAAAAATATGTTTACACTTATTCTTGCATGAAGTCTACAAGATGAATTGCAAAAAAACTCCCAGAGTTGTTGAGAAGGAAAGCTGAAGTCTGTGTGAAAAATGAGCTTATTTTCAGTATCAGAAACTGCAGGAAATAAGTTCCCAAAGTGGAGGCTTTACAGTTATTACTCCTTTTTTCCTCTAAACCCCACGCCAGGACGCTCTTCCAGGAGCCCATGGCCCTGGGGCTGCTCTCCAGACCCCCAGGCCTCTCCAGGAATCACCTGTGGATTTTAAAGGCTGCTCCCTCTAGTGGCCTAATTTCATGAACTTCAGCTGAAAGTTGAGTTGAGCTTAAAATTTCCCTCCATGTAATTTAGAAAAATGAGTGTGTTTAAGTGGTGGATTAGGCCGGCTCTCTACGTTTAGTCCTTGCTGATTGCTTGCTTTGAGGTGAAGGTGCTGGAGATGGGTAGTCGTGTCCCAGGAAAACCACCCTTTGAAGCGTCTGTGGGGCTTCCCACTCTGCCTGTCAGTCGGAGTCACCCTTGTCCATGACCGGGTTAAGAAGCCCCTCGCCACAGAAATCCCTGTCTATCCGATTGTGTCCCTTGGGAGAAGGGTCCTGGGGAGGCAGCCGACGTCCTGCGCTGGGAGAAGCCAACCCGCTTCCCAACAGGCTCCAGCAGAGCTCCCCAGAGCTGTCAGACAGGTCCAGGACTGCTCTTTCCTAACAGATTAAGTGAGGTGCTTCTCCTCTTTGCTCTCTGTCCTCTCATGACCCGGAAAAGCCGACTAAACTTTGCTTCACCGTGAAATCAGGTCCCGCTAAGAAGTGGGCTCTAAGGATCATGACCCACAGGGGATTTTCCAAGACCCTCAGCATTTCCACCAGCCCCTGTCTCTCACAGGCTAGTTCGTATGGCTACACTGACCTGTGATTCAGTGCAGGGCTTTGCAGCTGCAGGGAATTTGTAGCAATCAGCATCAGAGAATTGCTGTCCCCCGCTTACGCTTTTGACCTGCTCGCCAAGGAGCTGGATGTGTTTGGGGCACTCTGGCTTGCATCCTCCTTTTTCAGCTTTCCGAGACATCTTTGATATAGACCAGAATCCAGAGTATAAGGCAGGGCAGTTATCTCTCTCTCTTTTTTTTTTTTTTTTCCTATTAGATCCCATAGAATTAACATCCTGATGCAGTCTTCATTTAAATCACCCCTGCAGAGTGTGTGCAGACCGGAACGAGGGCTGTGTCTTGTGAGAACCTGTGCAAATARCATCCTTGGGCCAGCTCACACAGGGCTTGGTGCTGTGTCTGGGGACAATGGAATGAGACTCTTTTATGTAGAAACGAGTGTTTATTTCAAGAAGGAAGAGAGTTTGGTACTGCATCTACAGCAATGTGCTGAAAAATTGGCTGTTCACGGAGCTGCCTCCTGCAGGATCCCTTCTTCTTGCTCCACTTTAGTTTCTGCTATTTCAGAGAAGCCATAAAAGTCAAAATCATTTAATTATTCCAGACTTTAAACAAATGTCGAGTACAAGGGGCTGGAGCTTATAAGATTTTATGTATACGGCACACYTCAGTTCCCTGCACTTAAACACCACTTGTATTTACCTGCAAAGTGAAAACAGCAACTGGTGACCAGATGGCAAGCATGCATGCCTAGCAAATATCACATTTAATTTATTACAGGGTGCTACATTCCAGCAATTACTTCTAACTGCCAATAGCAACACACATCTCACCTAAAGAAACATCAGAGTTTTGTGTTCTGTTTGGAGTTATGCAGTGCTTTACTCCCACCTCTGCTAGCACCTCATTTCAGACATATGGAAACAGTAATTTCACTTGAAACAGTGGTTTCAAATATGCAGTCATCTCAAAACATCCCAGTCTGAAGGGTATTATTTAATTGCAGCTCATTTGCCCCAGKTTTCTTTAAGGCTAACATAAATTCTGCATTGCTACTGGAATTCTTTTTTTTTTTTTTTTCCTATGATGTAAGAAGTATAAGCTGTGCTCCAAACTGTGTATCACACCATCTAGATCTCATCTTCTCCAGCTGCAAACATTCCAGCACCACATGGGCATTTCCAGGCCCGCAGTCAGGCTCCCGGGATTCTGAACACGTGCCTGTGCATGTTGCTGGCACCTCGGGCCACGGGCAGCCGGGGTCAGGGATGAGCCTTTGGAAAAGCTCACGGGAGGTCTCGGGAGGTGCCTGCTCACCCTCAACAGCTCGTGGTGCACAGGGGTCTCTCTTTAACAAGTYGTGTGTGTTAATTTGGATCAAACAAACATCCGCTTCACTTTTTATTGTTTGKTTTTTTTAAGGAAAGAAGAACCAATCTCTGTGCATTTCTTTAGCTCCATACGATTATGAGTCATTCCTTAGATGCCTGGTCTAATTCTTAGGACAGAAACCCTCCCTCGTTGCGACTTTGCCATGATGTTGATTTTGAAGAGATTTATGACACCGCAAAAAGCACCATGCCAAGCCTTTAGGTTCTTTTTAAAGACCAAGAGCTCAGTGTTCATGGAAAAACAAGAGTTGTTGAATTAGCTCCAGTAGCTTCTTTTCCTCTCCCTTCCTGTGATATACCAGCCCCATGTTTTCCTTTCTGAGGCTGGCACTGGCAGCTGGGCTAGAGGATGTTGACAGAGACCTGTTTGGGACCTACCACCAGAAAAGGGGGCTACGTCCTGCCTAGCATTCGTTTTTAGCAGTCTCATCCCCTTGTTTTCGTGACACAGAGTCTCTGCAGTGACTTGATGGGTCTTTCTCCTTCCTCGATGCCTTTCCCAGATGTTGCAGCACCTCTGGGCCTAGTTATCCTCTTTGGAAGCAGCTGAGTGGTCCACCCTGAGGCAGGCGTGAGCTGGAGGTGAACAGCCTGAGGGAGGTTGGGAAGGAAAGGGAAAATCCAGAGGGAATTTCTTCAGCAGCTGCTCACCATGCAGAGCAAGGAGGCACAGAATAGGTGTCTTATCCTCCTCTTGCTTTAGGTTGAAGTTATTCCTGTTTTGCATCAAAGTAGCCTGGGGGGAAGATCAAATCCTCCAAGTACAATGTGGGAGGAGAGGAATGCCTGGTGCCTAACACAGTGTTCATCCAGCGTTCATGCTCATCCAGTAACAACGGGAAGCAGGGATTTTGATGGGCAGCAGCACGTGCCTGATTAACCAGTGTATGGATAGTGCTCAAAATTTGGGAGAGCACACGACACAAGAGATATGACAGCAACAGACAGTATGACCATTGCAAGGAATAATTTCAGATTCTTTTTTTTTCCATAAAATTGCCATGAATTTTAACATGAAGGGACAAAGGGAGAATCTAGTCACAGCCATTACTGGCTTTTGAGAATAATATGCTAATACTCTCGTTTTAGCCTTAAAGGCTTTGCTGAAGGAGTTAAGCACATACTTACAGGTAGGCACATACTCAGAGACTTTGCTGACCTGAACTTYGTGCAGGAGCAGTGGGAAAAGGATAAGATGAAGGAGAAGGAAATGCMAGTCCAACCAGCTGGGTTTCCAGCAAGTTTTAAAGATCTGCCAGTGGGAAGGATCAGGCTTGCAAAACTGTAAAGGGGAGAGGACATTTCTTCCCTGTCAGGGAACAGTTCAGGATCAGCTGTGTGCAAAGTGGTCACTGAAGACTTTCCTTATGCTTAATTTAGTGCATTGTTTCACAACAACAGTTTGTTTAGCCCAGGCAGAAGGCTTTAAATGCTGGCCTTGTATTATTAGTGTTTTAAAAGAAGGACTAAGGCCAAGTTTTAGCCTGTGAGTGTGTGTGCTACAATTCCAGAATAATTCCAGTTTTCCAGGGTGTTACCCCTGAGCCATATTACTGCAAGGAAAATCAGAACTGGATTGACCAGCTAAATATTAATTCCATCTAAGTAAACAAGATGCAGAAACAAAATCTGGCAGCTTCAGGCTCAGATATGAATGCCACTTTTATTGGTATGCATAAAGAGCTATCTTCCCTCCCATATTTTGGATCATATTAATATTTCTTCCTTTACAGGCTAATCTTAAAATTATCTTTGATTAGATGTCACTGCTAAGGGCTCGTCTACATGGGGCCCYGAGCAGATGTTAATTCTTTAACTGAGTGAGAGTGACTGTCCACTCTGCAATGCAATTATCTCATTCACTTTAAATTCCCATCTGTGGTCAATTCAGATTAGCTCGCCTGAGTGTCCCCATTTAGGCAAACTCTGCAATAAAAGAACTTACTGAAGCAGAGTCTCCTTGACAAGATTTTAGTAAATTAGTAACTTGTTGGAGTGTTCRTCTATTCAGAATACTGCTAATAAATCACTTTGAGACTTCAACCATTGTTGCTATTTTCTGTTAATAGGAGAAGTGTATTTGCAGCTTGAAAATATTCCAGCAACAAATGCTAACATGCTTCCAACTTTTGAAGCAYCTCATGCTTCTGTTTTGCTGTGGTGTGTGTGTTTTACTGAGCATTTTATTGATCTCGTGTCTCCTGCAACAGAAAACCTTCCCGTGTTCTGTCGTGTGCTGTTCCTGCATGCAGCCTGCCTCTGTTCATTAAGGATTTGCACACCAGCCCTGCAGGTTTTACCTGGAAATAGCTTTGTAGAGTAGAAGTAAATTGTGTCCTGCTCATTAGGAGTTTGGCCCTAATAGACACAGAGCAATTTTAGCACTGGCTGACACAAACAGGAGTTAAAGGTACTCAGGGTTTTATTTTGGAAGCCCTGCTTTTGGATTATAC